GGAGGCGGGGGTGGTGAGGTCGGGTAGCGGCTGGGGGAAGTGCGAGGATGGGGGTGTGAGAGCGACACTGGAGGAGGGTGTGGGGAGGCGGAGGCTTAGGGGGCAGCGCGGTGACTCCGTACTTGCGGGGGGGGTGATTGGTGGAGCCAGGGGAGGGCATGATGGAGCCCTCCAGCCCTCCAGCCCTCCGAGCCCTCCGAGCCCTCCGAGCCCTCCGAGCCCTCTTGGGGGGCAGAAGAACATAAGCCGCGACATCGTTTTTTTTATCTTTTTGCGACCCCTCCCGGAGGGCCCTTCCGACCCCTCTCGAGCCCTACCGCCACGAAGATCCTCCCTTGTCCGACCGTCCCTCCGAGCCCACCCGGCGTCCGGGGAGGGGGTTAGCCCTGTGGAGCCCTCCCGACGCCGATCCGACGGGGACCCCTCCAGCCCTGTGGGCTGGCGAGCCCTCCGGTCGGAGGGGTGGAAGTGGGAGGGCTCGAGGACGGACCTCTCTCGCTCCGGGAGGGTGGAGGGGTGCAGGGTGGAGGGGGTGGAGGGGTGGCTGAGCCCTCTAGCTCTTCCGATAAGCCCTACCCCTCCCGCCGTTTTAGGGCTTGCTGACCCGCTATGTGTCCACGTTGGAGCCAGGTGTGGTGTGGGCGCGAGAATAGCTCCGCCGTTCATGGAGGCAACCGATGCGAGTCGACTGGTGTGTGTCGTCGTGGTTTCGTATCAAGAATTCTCTCTCTCTCTCTCGGCGCTGCACGTGAGGCATAGCTACCCCAACGCCCTGCGAGCTTCCCCGCGCGCCCTCGGCGCCTCGGCGACCCCCCTCGCGAACCCTGTATTGTTACTTTTTTTAACAGTAGTCAGTACACCTCTCGCCCCCCCCCCCCAAGGTAGTTCTTGGGATGGCCGATCGGATGTGGAGATTAGAAAACAGGGAAAAAGAAACAAAAGACCGAAGGGAAAAACGCGAGAATTCTTTAGTGCGCGCCGGTAAAAGAAAAGAAAGAAAGAAAACAGACAACCCAAGGGAGGGATGGGAGGACGGCACGCCGCCACCACACAGGGATTTTAAGGAGAGGAGTGCGCGCCGGTCCCGTGCCCATTGGTAAGCGAAAATTCTTTTGCGTGAGCCCCCCACGTTCAGGATGCCTGGCCTCTTCGAGACCTCGAGTCGCGTCTGCGGGGTGTGCACGCGCCAGTACGCCAAGTACAAGTGCCCGCGCTGCGCTGTCGCGTACTGCTGCCTCGCCTGCTACCGCAGCCACTCTGAGGGTGCGCGCAGCACTCCCGGCGAGCATGCTGCCGCTGTCCGCTCACGCTCTGTTGGCGATAGGCTGTGCCGAGGGATTCTACGAGGAGGAGGCCACCCGCGTGCTGCGAGAGACCCGGGCCACGCCCGAGCAGCGCTCGGAGATGCTGCAGACGCTCCGCCGCTTTGAGGGCGAGTACGGCGATGGGCGGGCTCTTGGCGGTGGCGGCGGTGGCGGCATACCGGATGACGGCGAGGGGAGCGAGGATGACGGCCTCGACGCGGTTGCGAGCGGCGACGAGGAGGGCGAGCTGGACGAGCCGGCGCGGATGGCGCTGGTGCAGCTGCTTTCGGCCGCGAGCCTGCAGGGCGAGGGCGAGGGCGAGGGCGACCCCGCCGGAGGGCCGCTGCTCGACGAGGCGAGCCTGCTGAGCGAGGCGGGCCGCGCCACCTTCCGCCGGCTCGTTGCAGACGGCTCGCTCGCGGCGCGGCTGCAGGCGGCCCCGGCATGGTGGGAGCGTGTCCCTCCGGCTGCTGTCGTCGGGTCCGTGGCGGGCGGTTGGTGCGTCGCCGCCCCGGCGCCGAGGGTGGTGGATGTGACGGACGAGGCCGCCGCCGAGGCGCCCGTGGACGCGGCCGCGGCGGGGGCGCTGGTGGAAGCTGGGGCGGGGAGCAAGGCGGAGGCGGAGGCGAGGGCAGGGGCCACGACAGGCGCGGGGCCCGCCGCACCCTTCCTCGAGGGGGCTCCGCCGCTGCCGGCGACGATCCCGCCGCTGCGCTCGCTGACGAGCCGCGCCGTGCCCGCCGGGCTGCGCTACTCGCTGCTCGAGCAGCTCGTCGGCTACGCTTACGTCTACCGGCTGCACTGCGGCGCGCCAGAGGACGACCCGCTCTCTGCCGGCGCGGCGCTGCTCGCGCTGTGCGCCACTCTCTCGGGCAGCGTGCCGGGCGTGCACCCGACCGCCAGCGAGGCGCTGCTCCGGCTCGCCCTCTCCGCTGACGACCCCGCCGTCGCCACCTCCCCCGCCTTTGGCGCGCGTGCCGTCGCCGACGCAGAGACGCTGCTCGGAGACCCGGCGGGAGGGCGGGCGGCGATGGCGCTCGCCGGGCTGGACGAGCTGCTCCGTGCGTGCGCGTGCGCCGGCGCGGCGCTGCCCGCGGCGGAGCGGCGGTGCGCCCGCCACGCGCAGCGCAAGGCGTCCTTCCTCGCCAGCTGGTGGCGCAGCCTCGGAGAGCCCGAGCGGCGGGTGGTGTCCGAGGCGCTGCGCTTCGAGCTGCGCAAGGAGCTCGAGCGGAGGGAGGCGCTGCGCGTCGCGGCGGCGGGGCCGCAGACGGCGGCGGCCACGCTTATCCGGCCGGTGGGTGATAGTTGATCGAGACGTGAGGCTATTATTCGCTCCGAGCATCTCCATTGCTCCAACTCTGCGGCACAACCTGTCTCGTTGTGGCTTGTGCATGCGCTAACTAGAGAGCGCCCTCCAGAGAGCGGTGGACGGCGAGGTGCTATAAATAAATACATGTAAATAAAACGGACACCTCTACTATAGGAGATGGGTAAAAAGACGGCGAGGTGCTGCCCAAATCCCAAATGTCAAAATTCAGCCTGGGCTGTGTGTGTGAAAGAGCTTCTACCCCTTATTCGGACACCAGCCCATGTGTGTGTGCTGCGTGTGACACATGCCCACATGCCTCTCTCGGTACTAGCTAGACTAGAGCCGCACACTCTAGCAGCCGTCGCGCGTAACCGTAACGAGCTGTCGAGAAAGCTACAGCCCGTCGTCCTCCCACAGCCAAGCCGCATCATCGGTGTTGCCATCGGTGGCGCCGGCGGCCTCCAACCGTCGAACGGCCGCGGCCTGCTCCTCGGCAGCCGCGTCTGCGCCGGCGCGGGTCGACCCTGCCCCGTCCGAGGCGCAGATGCTGCTCGCAAAGACGAGCTCAAACCCGCGCGCCGAGGCGAGCCCGCGCAACACCTCGCGGAGCGCGGAGAGCGGCATGTCGCGCCGCGTCTCAATGAATAGCTGCTGGGTCTTGTCGCGCCAGCCGGTGCCTCCGCGCGCGAGCAGCCGGACGGAGGAGCGGCGTCCAAAGCCGGCAAAGGCCACTGTCAGTGGCGCCCCCTCCTCGACGCTGGCAGCCGGCGTGTACTCGAGCGAACGCACTCGCGACGTGGTGACGGCGACCACGCCGTCGCTCGCCCTCAGCATGCCAATCAGCGCGAGGACGCCAGGCAAGTACACCATCTTGTACGGCGTCCGCGAGCGGTCCGCCGGCGGGCCGGCAGCGGTGGCGGATCCCCCCTCGCGCACCCCCTCGCGGCTGCTGCTCCCGGGGCGCCTCTCCGACACCCGCGGGCGCGGGCCCCGGCGAAGTGCGACCGCCCCCTTCGAGGCGCCTGCCCGACCGCCGCCAGAGCCGCCCACCCCGACGAGCGACTCCCACGCGGCGGCGTCGTCCTCCGACGCAATCCTTGGCACAAACGTGGGCGTCACAAGCGACGCAGCCGACTCGGCGGCCGCGGCTGCGGCGGCCTCCTCGGCGGCAGCGGCCTCCTCCACGGCACGCCTCTCTGCCGCCAGCTGCGCCTTTCGCCGCCGCAGCATCTCGCGCGCCGTCTCGCACGCGCGCTCCGCCTCGGTGGCGCCGAACGAGCCGAGGAGCCGGCCCGGCTCCGTCGCCGAGAGCAGAAAGACGTAGAGGCTACCCGGCCGCAGCTCCGGCACCCCGAGCGAGCGAAGCAAGCCTCCTCCCGCGTCGCTGAGCACCGCCGAGCTCGGAGCGGCGGCCGCCGCGGCGCGCAGAGCCGCGACGTAGATGGCGGCCGCCTCGCCGACCGAGACGGAGGCCAGGCTCGCGTTCGCCTCGGCGGCTAGCCCGCCCAGCCGGCTGTCCCACAGCCGCGCCGCCTGCGGCAGCGTCCCCTTCGAGTCCGCCGCGCCGCACAGGAAGAGGACGGCGCTCCTGCCCGCCGCGGCCTCGAGCAGGTCGCGCGGGGCGGCCTGCGAATCGCCGCCGCCCACGAGGCTAAGCCCGGTCAGGTCGAGGCCGGGCAGCGCGTCCCCTGCGTGCGGAGCGCCTCGCCTTCCTCCGCTCTCCTCCTCCTCCCCCGCCTCCTCCTCGCTCCCACCCACCGCTGCGGCGGCGGCCGCCTGTGCGGCGACCTCCTGAGCGGCCGCTTCCGCCGCCGCCTCAGCCTGCGCGCGTGCCGCCGCCTCCGACGCCGCCAGCGCTGCCGCCTCGCGGGCTGCTGCCGCCGCCGCGTCGGCCGCCGCCACGGCGGAAGCGGCCGCCGCCCGCTCCTCCTCTGCGCGCGCCTCGGCTGCCCGCCGCGCCGTCTCCGCCGCCTCCAGCTGCTTTCGGAGGGTCGCGTCAGCGCCAGCCGCGTCAGCGCCGGCTGCGCCCGCGCGGGGCCTCGTGTCATCGGCCGCACGCGGCCTCGAGTCTGCCGGGCCGCCCGCCTTCTTTGCCTGCTTCTTCTGCTTCGGCATCTTCTGCTTGGGCGCGGCGCGCGCCTTCGCCTCGGCGAGTGCCATTGCCGCCTTGGCGTTCGCGGCGTCGTCGGCCGCCTTCTGCGCCGCCGCCGCCGCCTCCCTCTGTTGCGCCGCCGCCGCCGCCTCCTCCCTCTGCGCCGCCGCCGCCTCGTCGGCGCGCGACGCCTCCAGCGCCGCCTTGAGCTGCTCGTTCTCCCGCTGCAGGGCCTGCAGCGCCTTGAGCTCCTCGTTCTCGCGCCGGAGCGCCTCGAGATCCGCACCCGCATCCGCCGGACCCGCCGACGGCGGCGGCGGAGCCGCGGTGGGCAGCGCGCCAAACAGCTCCGCCGCGCGCCTCTCGCTGCGCGCCGCCTCCGCCTCGGCGGCGGTGCTTGGGGCGGGCGGTGCCGGAGCTGCCGCGTCGGTGGGTGAGGCGGATCCCTTTGCCCGCGCCTCGACCGCGGCGGTGACCCGGTCGAGCAGCGGCGCCGGGTCGGCTGGCCCAAAGGAGGCGAGCAGCACGCCGCCGCGCGCCACGTCGAGGAGGTAGCCGCACGGGCCTCCGTTCCGGTCGACGTTGAGCTGCGAGAGCCAGGCCGAGTCCGGGTCGCTGAGAAGCGGGAAGGAGACGCCGCCCTTGCGCTCGAGCTTGCGGTAGGTTGCCGGCGCGACGCGCGAAACGGCCGCCACCGCCGCGTCGAGCCTCGCGCCGGGGAAGCGAGACGCAAACGCGACGAGGTCCGAGCGGAGGGCGTTGGACATGATGGGCTCGGACGAGGCGAGGAGGACGAGGTAGGAGCGGCCGGCGGCGAGCGCGGCGAGCGAGTCGAAGGACGTGGGGTGGCCAGCCAGCGCAGACAGCTTGGCTGGCGTGGGCAGCGGCTCACCCGAGGTGAGGAGCTCCGATGACAGCGCCCGGCCCTGCCGGCCTGTGCGCGATCCGGCAACCATGGCGTCGAAGGCGGCGTACTCCTCCTCGAGGGATGGGCCGCTCGGCGCCGCCGGCCGCGGGTGTGCCTTGGGCGCCGACGGCCGCGCGGGCTTTGTGGACGGCTGATTCGACCGCTTGAAGGCGGCAAAGATGTCGTCCCGGGTGACGGCCGTTTTTTTTGCCGCGGGTGGGGGCTTTGGCCGCTTGGGCGGTGGCGGCGGGGCGGTCGCCTCGCTGAGCCCGCCCTCGCGTGCCGCTCGCGCCCGCTCGAGCATGGCGGCCAGCTCCGCCTGCTTCTTGTTGATCATGCCGGGCGGCGGCGAGCGCGAGACCGCCGGCCTGCGAGGCAGCGCGCACGAGGGCGAGAGCGAGAGAGCTGCGCAGGAGGTGAGGGCTGCCAGCGTCAGCCACGGGCTGGGGCGCATGGTAATGCTCGACGTCAAAAGTATTCGCGCTCATCCTGCCATGCACAGACACACAGCTGCTTCCCCTCCCCCCTCAAGACCTTCCCAAGGGCGAGGACACGCGCAGGCCGCACCTCTAGTGAGGCCCGCATAGTATGTGGGAGACTCATGCCGCCGCCCCTGCCACCCCTGTGATTTGGGGCTTTACACGTTTTTCTCGCCAAGTACTATCTATATTCTTTTGCTGATATTCTCCCCAGACCCTCTATATTCTCGAGAATATTCTCGAATATTGAGAATATTTTTACCACGCGGCAGGTCGACGGAGGCCAAAAACCGCTCTAAAGTAGAGGTTTTGTGCTCCCAAACCGCCGAGGAACGTCCGAAACTTAAAATTTTCCGTCTGCGTCGACCCAAAACCTACTGTTGAGGTGCAAAAGAGCTGTTCCGAGAAGCTCTAGTCAAGACCGCACTTGGAGACCGTTCTAGACGCCGCGATTGTAACGTCGAGAATATTCAAGAATATCTTGAGACTCGAGGTCAATCAAGGTCAAGGGCTGAAGAAAGCTCGTATATTCTTGAGAAAAAAGCCGGCCGGGGCATCTAGGTTCTCGAGAATATTCTCGAATACGAAAGTGCGCGGGACCCTCTATATTCTCAAAGATATTCGAGAATATGGTGTCAGGGCCAACCTGTGAGCTGTGTCAGTGTGCCCGTGCGTGGTAGTGAGAGACTGCCGGTGAGAAGCCGGAGGAAGGTCGCTAGACTGAGATGAGACCGCCAGTGGAGTTGGGATTCCACCGTGCACCGCGCTGCGAGCCTGTCGTGTCCCTTGTCAGGAGCAGGAGAGCCCACCTGTCCCCCTGATCGTCCTTCCAAAATCCTGCTCGTGCAGGTGTGGACCCTGTCCTCCTCCCCTACGAGTATCCCTCGTTTGGGTTGTCTTGGAGCACTTGGAGTGCAGTCAGTAACCGCACATCCAGGGCCGGGGAGCTAAGATCTGTTTTCTTTCTTTTTTTACGTCCTCCCATCCCTCCCTTGGGTTGTCTGTTTTCTTTCTTTCTTTCTTTGCTCCAAGTACTTGGCTTGTTGCTTTCTTTCTTTCTTTCTGCTCCAAGTACTTCGCGGCCTAAATCTGTGCAGGTTGTCGGAGAGAGAGGACACGATGCCGGAGAAGAAATCACGACTCCCACAGTGATTTGGGCTCGGCAGCTTGTCAGCCCTCAGCCGAAGCTGGGGCCGGTCCCGTAGCCGAGAGAGCCCGCGCCGATGAGTTCGACGCGGTCGGGGGGGCCTGCGGAGAGGCCAGCGAGGTGGCGATCGCTGTACTTCATGGCGCCCTCAAAGTGGGGCTGGCTGACAAGCCAGAGGTCGATACTCTGGACGACCCATAGGATGCCACGAATGCCTGAAGGAGGCGAGGCCAGAGGCAGGCTCCGCTGCTCTCGGGTGATCTCACTTTGGTGGCTGAAGGACCCGATGGTCCTGTCACATTCGCGTTCCGAGTCGTGGGGGTAGAAGAATTCGAGGTAGAATCGAGTCAGCACTTCCTTGTAGTACAGCGGACCGCCAGGCTCGCCGGCAGCATCCGCAGGGAGGCAGCATATGAGGCACCAGTCTTCTGGAGAGCTCAACAGCTGCGGCCGCGATGGTAGAGCCGGCCGCGGTTCGAGCGAGCAGCTTTTGGCTGCGGGATCGAATATCGCGGAAGGCTCATGCCCTCGCGGAGCGACGCGGGTCGCGCGGCGCGCGTGTGCGCGAAATGCGACAACAGACGACAGATGACAGACGCCTGAGCGCTGTACGACTGAACACGACCGTCGCCGCAATCGCCACCGCCGCCATTTTGACGAGCAGCGCGAGCGCGCTCGTCGGCGGCCAGCCGTCGCGGGCCGGGCCGAGCCCGGCCTCGACCGGCCGCGCCGCCGCAGCAGACCGGGAGGCCACGAATGGCGGCCGACCAGCTGATAAGGACCTTTGTGGTTTTCTAAAATCTCTCTCTCTCGATGCCGGCGTGAACACAACTAACTGATGGATCCGCTCTTGACAGTGGCACGCGCCGCGCAGCGGCGCGTGCCAATGTCTTTGTTTGAAGTTAAAAGTCGATGTGCGGTTGATCACTGGACACTGCACTCCAAGTGCTCCAAGTCGAATCAGAGCGCCGTCGGCGTTGTTTCCTCCCACGGACCGCTTCCGGGACGCACGCCGGCGAAGCACTATTGACCTACTATTGAGCTGCTGTACGGCCCCGGGCCTGGCATCGCCTCCCCTCTGCGCTCTGGCTTAGCTAGACTGGGAGATATTGTGCACATGGTCAGTTTCTACAATATACTCACTGACACTTTACCTCCTAGAGCTCGTGGTCCGCCACGGCCATCCTCGGCCTCCGGAGGGCCCGCGCGCCACAAATCGCCGACCACAGAGCACCGGGACGCGGTCGGGCGATCTGAGGCCAAACTAGGCGTATGCATTGACTATCCAGGGCTATCACCTGGACCTTCAACAGGCGCCTGCGGGCTGCGGCGCCGTGGTCAGGAGCTGCTGTTCACACCTGCACAGGCCACAGACTTTGATACGGCACAATTCTTTCTCTGTCCCGTAACAGTATAAATAGAGCAGACATCTCCTGGAGAGATAGGGCGACAACCCGACGGGCAGACCCCGCCCGGCTCGGAGGGCGTATATCTAGCATCTAGGCGCTGCACGGCTCCTCAGGCTTTCTGCGTCTGGGGTGGTGTGTGTGTGTGTGTGTGTGTGTGTGTGTGTGTGTGTGTGTGTGTGTGTGTGTGTGTGTGTGTGTGTGTGTGTGTGTGTGTGTGTGTGTGTGTGTGTGAGGTGTGTGTGTGTGTGTCTGAAATAAAGAAAACAGGCAACCCAAGGGAGGATGTGTGCCTCCCCACCTCGCTCGGCTCTCCTCCTTGAATCCTCCCCCTCACCCCGTTGCAGGACTGGCGCCGTGGCGGGCGGGTCCGACGAGAAAGCGATGTACGGCATTCCAAGTGGCGGCATCGACGTCGCGGACCTCTTGGCTCGCCTCGGGCTCGTCGAGAAGGGCGCCGGCGGAGGCGTGCGCGCGAGGGAGGGCGCGTCCGCGGTGCAGCTCGTGAGGCGAGGCCTTGACTTGGATGTAGGCGACCTGTAGGCGACGTGGGGAAGGTGCTGCTGACCGCAGAGTTGTTGGAGAAGGAGGCGTCGATCCGGGATGTGTGCGAGGCGGAGAGGCGCGCGGGCGCGGCAAAGATAGCGGCGGTCGAGGCCGTAGTGGCCAGGGTTGAGGGTGAGGCCGCGGGGGGCGAACGCCTCGCATTGGAGGCTCTGCGGGGCGCGGAGGCGGCGGCGAGGAGGGCGTCGGGCGACGCGCAGGCGGAGCTGGATCGCTTGAAGAGGATGCACCAGGTGCGCGACGGAACCCCACAGGGGCACGGGAGGGAGGCTGGCAGTCGGGCCGCCAGCGCATCAGCGTGATTCCCAACTAGCGCCACGATCGCTGACGTGTGAGGCTCCCCTGCAGTTTCTGCACCATACGACAGTGTGGGCGCAGGTTATACCTCATGGGATAAGGGTGGTCATGACTGTGACGGCTTTATGGGTCTTTTTCCTTTTGTGCGTTTCGGTTGTTGCTGGGGGTGGGATGTCTCAGCTCCGATATGCCAGCGTGAATACCCGCGGCAGGCATATCTCCCGGACTCGGCCGGACTGGACCGGCGTATACCGGTGCACACCCTGCACGGTCACGGCGGGCACAGTAGAAACCACACCCACTGCACTCTCCAGCGCACACACAGCCGTTTACAGAACTTCCAGCGCACACACACTCTCCAGCGCACACACAGCGGGGTGCGCGGGGAGAGCCTTCCCACACCGAAAACTGGCCTTCACACCGCGCCTGAGACATCCCACTGGGTTCGCGGAGCTTTCCCTGACCTCACGCGCGAGAGGCACATCGACATGCTCCGTCGGACGAGACGTATGCTCCGCGCAGGCACGCTCGGTCTCCTCGTTTCGACCGTCAACGCCGCCTTCGCCCCGGCGCCCGCTCGCGCCGCGTATGCTGGCGCGCGGCACGCGCTGCGGCCCGGAGCGCGAGCTGCCGGGAGAGCGGCGCCCAGCCGCGGCAGCGCAGTCCATCTCTCGTGCGACCACGCGACGCGGACCTGCGGCGTGCACGCACCGAGTGGCACCAACGCCGCAGCGGCCGTCGCCGCCGTCGCCGCGGCGCCCACCGTGCGCGGCGTGGGCACGCGGGCGGGCGGGCCCGCGATGGTGGCGCCGGCGGTGGAGACGGCCGAGTGCGGTGCGGGCACGTCCGACGGCGAGATGGCGAAGCAGTACGTGCCTGCCGAGGTGGAGGAGCGGCTGTACGCGTGGTGGGAGGCTAAGGGCTACTTCAAGCCCGCGCCGGACAACGGGAAGCAGTGCTTTGTCGTCTCGATGCCGCCTCCGAACGTGACTGGGCGGCTGCACATGGGGCACGCGATGTTCGTGGCGCTGGAGGACATCATGGCGCGCTTCCACCGGATGCGCGGGCACCCGACGCTCTGGCTTCCGGGGACGGACCACGCGGGCATCGCCACGCAGATGCTCGTTGAGAGAGACCTCAAGTCGAAGGGGGTGGAGCGGGTGGCGCTCGGCCGCGAGGGCTTCCTGGACAAGGTGTGGGAGTGGAAGGAGGAGTACGGCGGCGCGATCACGGCGCAGATCCGCCGGCTCGGTGCCTCGTGCGACTGGTCGCGCGAGCGCTTCACTCTCCAGCCCGAGCTCTGCGAGGCTGTGACGGAGGCGTTCGTGACGCTGCACGAGCGAGGCCTCGTCTACCGGGGTGAGCGGAGCTCTCCTCTCCAGATCTCCTCTCCAGATCTCGTCTCCAGATCGCCTCTCCAGCACCTCTCGCCCGCGCGGCGAGGGCATGACGAGAGGCTCCGCCGCCCGCTCAGGCGAGTACATGGTCAACTGGTCGCCCGTGCTCGGCACCGCCGTCTCCGACCTCGAAGTGGACTACGTCGAGGAGCAAGGCTGCAGCTCTCTCCAGCTCCCCGCCCGCCGGCCGCGAGGCTGCCTCCCCTCCCACAGCCTCGCGCCCCCCGCGAGTAGGGAAGCTGTACTACTTCGACTACCCGCTCGCGGACGGGTCCGGCGCCATCCCCGTCGCGACCACCCGCCCTGAGACCATCCTCGGCGACGCGTGCGTCTGCGTGCACCCCGAGGACGAGCGGTACAAGGAGTTTGTCGGCAAGCTGGTCCGCGTGCCAGGCACGCAGCGGGAGGTGCCCGTCATTGCGGACGACTACGTGGAGCGCGAGTTCGGGACGGGGGCGCTCAAGGTGACGCCGGCGCACGACGTCAACGACTACGCCATCGGCCAGCGGCACGGCCTGCCCCTCCTCAACATCCTGAACAAGGACGCGACGATGAACGAGGCGGCGGGCAAGTACGCCGGCCTCGACCGGTACGCGTGCCGTGCGGAGCTGTGGGCGGACCTCGAGGCGGAGGGGCTCGCGCTCAAGGCGCGCGCGGGGGAGGGAGGGCCGGCGGCGGCGCGGGGGAGGGAGGGCCGGCGGCGCGGCTCGTGGCTCCGACCCCCGCGCCCCTGCTGCCCGCAGGTGGAGGAGCACACGCAGCGGGTGCCTCGCTCGCAGCGGTCGGGCGAGGTCATCGAGCCGCTCGTCTCGACGCAGTGGTTCGTCAAGATGGGGGGGATGGCGGGCAAGGGGCTCGAGGCGGTGCGGTCGGGCGAGACCAAGATCCTGCCCGAGCGCTTCGAGAAGGTCTACTTCAACTGGCTCGAAAACATCCAAGACTGGTGCGTCTCGCGCCAGCTCTGGTGGGGCCACCGCATCCCGGTCTGGTACGTCGACTCGGCGCCGGGCAAGTACTACTGCGCGCGCTCGGAGGAGGAGGCGCGCAAGCGGGCCGAGGCCGAGCTCGGGCCGGGCGTGGTGCTGCGGCAGGACGACGACGTGCTCGACACGTGGTTCTCGTCCGGGCTGTGGCCCTTCGCGACCGTCGGCTGGCCGCAGCAGGCGCTGGGCGGAGACCTGACGGGCGGCGGCGCGCCGGCGGGCTCCGACCTGGCGCGCTTCTACCCGTCGTCGGTGATGGAGACCGGGTACGACATCCTCTTCTTTTGGGTCGCGCGCATGATGATGCTCGGCCTCGAGTTCACCGGCAAGGCGCCCTTCCACACCATCTACCTGCACGGCCTGGTGCGCGACGCAAAGGGCCAAAAGATGAGCAAGACCAAGGGCAACGTGGTGGACCCGCTCGACACGATCGACACGATGGGGACCGACGCGCTCCGCCTCTCCCTCGTCACGGGCGTCACGCCGGGGCAGGACGTGCCCCTCTCCGAGGACAAGATCCAGGCGAACCGCAACTTCGCAAACAAGCTGTGGAATACGGCGCGCTTCCTCACGATCGGCCTCGCGGACCTGCCCGCCGAGCAGCGGCAGGCGCTCGCCGTGACCGGCCCGCTGGCGGAGGCCGACCTCGCCGCCCTCGCCCTGCCCGAGCGCTACATCGTCTCGCGCGTGCACGCCCTCGCCACCGACGTCACCGCGCAGCTGAGCAGCTACGACTTTGGGCCCGCCGGGCAGTCCATCTACTCCTTCCTGTGGGACGAGTACGCGGACTGGTACCTCGAGATCTCGAAGGGCCGGATCGCCTCCGCCGACGCGCGCGCCGCCGCCGACGCGCGCCGCACGCTCGTCTACGTGCTCGACACGTGCCTCCGGCTACTGCACCCGTACATGCCCTTCATCACCGAGGAGCTGTGGCAGCGGCTGCCGCACGAGGGCGAGTCGATCATGGTGGCCGACTGGCCGCTGATGGAGGAGGCGGGCGAGCTGCCGCGCGACGCCGCCGCCGAGGCCGAGTTCGCCTCGCTGCAGGCGCTGGTGCGCGGCATCCGAAACGCGCGCGCAGAGTACCGCGTCGAGCCCGCGAAGAAGGTGGCGGCCACGGTGCTCGCGGCGCCGCGCCTCGCCGCGGCGGTGCGGAGCGAGGCGGCCGCGCTCGAGGTGCTCGCGCGCGTGGCGACGGGCGCGCTCCTCGTCGAGGAGGCCGGCTCCGACGCCGCGGCGGCCGCCGAGCAGGCGGCGGGCGAGGGCGCCGTGCGGCTGATCCTGGGCGACGGGCTCGAGGTGCTGCTGCCGATCTCGGACCTCGTCGATGCGGACAAGGAGCGCGCGCGGCTGGGGAAGCAGCAGACCAAGCTCGAGGCGGACATCGGCAAGCTGGAGGCGAGGCTGTCGTCGGACGGCTTCGCGGGCAAGGCGCCCGAGGCGGTGGTGGCAAAGGCGCGCAACGAGCTGGCCGACATGAAGACAAAGCTTGCGGCCGTCCTGGAAGGGCTTGCCAAGCTCTGAGCAGCCCGGCGCTGGGCTGACGCCATCCTCCTGCCGCCGGTCCCCGGAGACGGGAACGGAGGGCTATTCGAGCACCACTCTCCACTGCGCACTGGCACTTCTGGACTCGTTTGTACTACTCTAGTGTCTAGACCGTCACATATTACACAAAAACAGAGTGGAGTAAAAGTGTAAATATAAAACAAGGCTCGCTCTCGAGGCGATCCCCGCCGGCCCCGCCGCGATCTTTTACTTTTTGTGGATTTGTGCACTGCGTCTGCGGTGTGCAGCCTGCAGCGTGCAGGGTGCAGCGCGCTTGTGCACTGCAGGCCAGTGAGAGCGGATCTCCCGTGGGGGGTGTGCGGCGTCGGGTGTCGCGCGCACGCGTGTGATCACGACACATTCATGTTATGATTCATCATCAGGAGATACATGTTCATGCACATGCACATGCATAGGGAAATCACACCTCCACGCTCCATAAATAAATAAATAAATAACACGGACACCTCTACTAGGAGATGGGTAAAAAGGAACAGGTCCCCGCCCTGCGGTCTTTGTGCAGGGTTCTTTGTGGGTGTGGTCGGCGACTAGCCGGGGTCGTCCTCCCGATGGGGGACTAGCACTAGCCGTCTTCCACATGGTCCCTCGGGTCCCTGCTGCTCCTAATCTCTTCGTACATCCTCCTGCTGATCTCCGCAAAGTCCTGCTCCCTCCCTCGTCTCACCCTGCGCGTCTGCTCCGCCTCACCGTCTTCTGCCCTGCGTCGTCTGGCGACGGGTCCTCCATAGTCGGTCGAAGTCGCCGCCCTCCTCGTGCCTCTTCCCAACGTTCCCTCGGCGGCCGATGCCGTCTGCTCCGGCTCCCCAGTCCCCGGGTCTGCCCTGCTCTCGTCTGCGCTAGTCTCTGCTTCGTCCTCACCGGCGTCTCTCCTCTTCCCTCTCCCCTTCTTGTATGCTTTGCACATCGCGTCGATTCCTGTTCGCGTGAGCACCAGCCTGAAGCCCGCCCAGCATCTGAACCGCTCCCTAAGTCGAAGGAGCATCATCAGTCTCACCCACTTCGCTCTCTGCCCACCGTCTCCGCTCCCTCCCGCTTGAGCCGCCGTCGCGGCCCTCGTTCGTCCCACTGGCTGTTGGCCTGTTCCCACGTTACCTCCATTATCCCTCCTCCTCCGCGACTCCCTAAGGCTGGCCGGGCCTCCTTCCACCCAGCGAAGAGCTTCCTCAGCCACTCGATGTGTTCCTCTCTCCAGTCCTCCACACGCCACAGGTTTTTACGCAGCGCGCAGCGCGGTCGTGGTCCCTTGCGCGCCCCAAGCAACCTGCAAAAACGAGTGGTCAGCGCCTACGAGTGCCGCCCACCCCCGTTCGCACCGGTCGCAGCAGGAGCAGCGCGACCGCGCCCGCTCGTCGATTCGGACAAGGTGCCCGCTCGTCGATTCGGAGGAGGAGACGGGGTCCTGATTGCCCGACCCGTGGTAGAGCTAGAGGCGCAGCGGCGCCTTGCCGAGAGACTGGCGTGCCCATCGCCGTCGCCACCGCGGCCTCCCTCTCGAGTAGGCACTAGATTACAGAGCGCGCGGAGCGCGCCCGCTAGACACCCCACGAGGCAGCGCGCGGAGCGCGCGCCCGCGAGAGACACCAGACAGCGCGCGCCGCTGCACCTCACAAAAGGCGTAGGCGCTGGTTCGCACATCTACTGCAGGTTGGTGCGCGCTCTGGGCGCGTCGGGCTGTGGTCTCTTTATGACACACTTTGTGAGCACAAAACACAGCGGCTTGCCTCGCATCACGCATGTCTCTCTTGGTGTGGAGAAAAAGCTCCAGAATGACCTGGCCCGTCACTCTTCGTTTTGTCCTCGCGGTGCACAGCAGTCCGCCCCCCGGCCGGCGCGTGCGTGCCCCTGCCTCGCTTCATCCAGCAGGAGGCCAAAAAGGCAGTCCAGATCTCGGGAGCGATATACAACAGACGGTCTCACGCTCCACCCGTTCGGCGCTGCGACGCGACGAGATCGCGTCGACGTCCCGTCCTCTCTCGGCCCTGCTCACGATGACCAAGCTGATGCCATTGATTGCCATAGGTGGGTGAACGCCCCCTCCAAGCCCCTCTGCCCCCCCTTTGTTGTCGACCCACGCCTCCATCCCTGAGCGCTGCAGGAGCGAGCCCAGAAGCGTCTCAAAAGTCCCCGTCCGACTCCGAGGCGTCAGACATCACAGCAGCAGAAGCTGCCGCTGCGCCCCGGAGCTGTCGCAGCCCATCCTCGGTCGTCTTCTGCACGTCGGCTAGCGCCGCGTCATGCGTGTCCTTGATGTCGGTCGTGGCCCTGCAAAGCCGCGTGGCAGGCGTGCGGCTGAGGGCTGCGGGCGCCGCAGACGAGAGGAAAGTTTGGCGGCGCGGCGCGCGCACCGGTGGCACTCGCGAAGGGTCGAGCGCATCTTTTTGAGCTGCGGGTCGGTGGCGGCCTTGAGCTTCTCCTCCTTGTTTCCTGAGGCCGGCTTCGGGATCTTCTTGTACAGCGCGCTGATGTCGGCCGACTCCTTGTGGATCCACTGACTAACGTCCTGCGCACGGAGGCAGCGGTGTGCCACGATGGCTGCTCCAGCGATGGCTGCTCCGGTGGCGACACCCAACGGACATCGCCGCTCGTTGGGAGCTGGAGGAGAGACGGAGGTGTGCGCGCTGTGTCGTTCGTTGGCGCGTGCGTGCAGGCGGCGTGCTGCGAAGCGGGGAGGCGAGAGCTTGGGAGGGCACCTTTGCCAGAAGCGCGAGCTGGTCCGAGGCCTTGGAGGCAGCTGGCTTCTTGGTCGCCGTGGGCTTCTTCGCGGCTGGCATTTAGCGGAGGATCGTTCTTTGGCTGATGGCACGCTGTGAATAAAAAAGGAAAAGCCGGAGGGGTCATTTTTTTGATTCGAGAAACCCCCTTTATACGCAGACGTGAGCTCTCTTCCCTGGAGCCTGCTAGACCATCAGCCGCGTGCGGAGGCTCTCTGCCCCGTTCAAAGTCCGGTCTACTCGAGTAGTAGTGGGAGCACGCTGCACGGGACAGCACGCGTCAAGCGAGTCGCCGCCGGCCGCTTCGGCATGCTCCTCATGCTGAGAGTCCCCGTCGACAAGAGCGCGCCCCTTGCCGTCGCCGCAAAAGACGAATGGCCTACAAGAGGGGTGTGTCGACACGGTCGTGTCGCCCCTGGGCCGAGCCGGCCCTGCGCCGCCGGCGGGGAGAGCGAGCAGCGACGCCGCGCGTGTGTTAGACGGTCTCTCGGCGCGCCGCCGCGAGAGAGGTTGCGCACCCCATTTTTGTGCAAGAGCCAAGAGCAAGAGACGCGGAGCGGCTCGGAAGCACGCACCAGGAGGGGGAGCTGGGATTTCGGGAGGCAAGAACTGGGCGGCGATACCACACGAGAATAATACTCGACTACAGCGTCCTGCCCGACACGCTGATATCTACATCCCTCTCGGCCCGGTCATGTCCCCAGCGTGCCTCCTCTGCTGCTGCGGTGCCCGTGGCAGTGGAACCCTCACTCCCAGTCCGACTTGATCTGGAAGTCGTACTTGAACTTTAGGTGCTCCACCTTATCGTCGTCCACAAAGGTCGTTTTCACGTGGTACTGGCCGCGCGCCAAGGCGCCTGAGGGGGCCTCCTCCCACTCGCCCTTGGGGAAGAACACTTGGTACACCTGTGGCGGGGGCCGAGGACGGTGAACGGCTCGCGAATGTCTGTGGCTCTCTCTCTCCTACAGCGCACCTGGAGCTTGCTCGGCGCGTAGCTGCCCAGCATCTCTGAGTGTGTGTCGACCTTCATCATTGCGCGCTTGACGACATGCTTGTACTTGAGGCCCGAGACAATCTCGTTCTGAACTTTGAACGAGAGCTGCGTGCGCGGCGTCCGGGTGGTGAGTGGGTGAACTTCTCCCCTCTTGGATGCCGACTGCACCCTGGCGGCGCGCACCTGTATCCGGTATTTGCATCCCTCTTTGAGGACAAACACCGTGTCCTTCTTGGGCGAGACGAGGTCGAAGACGAGGGGATCTCTGTCTTCGATGAGGATGCGCATCTCCATCAGCACAACATGCCTCGGGTCGTCGGTCTTCTCAAAGCTGTCCTGCTTCAGAAGCGTCATCTTGTACCGCTGCATCGCCTCGTCCTCGCCCTCCTTTTGCGCCATCAGCTCCTCGAGCGTCTTCTTGGCCGGGGCGGCGTGTGATGTGTCGTCGTCGTGTGCCTCGCCATCGGACGAGTCCTCCGCCATCGCTCACCTTTAGACGGACGGCGCACAGAGGGGCGGCTCTGCGAGTGCGTTTCTTTTTATTTCGGCCTTTAGCCAAAATAAAGAGACGGGAGTTGCCGAAGAAGAGAAAAAACCAGCGGATCGCCACACCAGCACCACCAGGATTTTACAAACAGATTCAAATATGAAACAACAACAACACTCAAGAGAAAGAAGATCTCCCTCTCTCTCAAAACTCAAACGACACACAACATAAAACACAACAAAAATCGAGTAAAGATTTCTCTCTCTCGTCACTGTGATCAGGTGCAGGCGAGCTCGCCGCACCGCGCCGCCTCGTCATGGCTTCGCGAGGAAGCCCTTGACCGCGTCTCTCCAGGCGCGGGGCTTCTCGAGCGGCACGGCGTGCGCCGCGCCCTCGATGGGCAGGTGCTCCCAGCCAGCGACGCGGGCGAGGTCGGCGCCACTGCTCAGCGTCGAGAAGGCGTCCTCGGTGCCCGAGATGATGAGCCCGCCCTCGACGGCGCCTGCAGACGCGATCCGGCTGGCGAGGCGCTCTGTGTGGAGCGGGTGCTCCTCCTCCTCTGTCGCCAGCGTCTCGGCGATGATTGCCCCGACCCCCTCGCTCGTGCACTCGCGTGCCAACGCGTCGACCCACTTTGGGACGCGCGCCTCGTGCTCCGCGAGGAAGGAGGACGAGTACGAGGCGAGCGTGATCTGGTAGCCAAAGCCCTGCATGTCGCCCGAGCGCAGCGACGCGAGGCAGCCGCGCAGCGCAAAGCGTCCGCGTGCGGTGCGGCGGGAAGCCACGGCGGTGGAGACGACGCGGCGCACCTGCAGCCCGCCCGAGGCGGCTGCCGCCATCGCCAGGCGGCCTCCGAAGGAGAAGCCCGCCAGGTCGACGGGCCGATCTGCCCAGCCCGCGGCGGCCAGCACGGCCTGCAGGTCGCGTGTGTGCCGTGTGAGGGTCATGTCGGAGAGGTCGTGAGCAACCTTCCCTTGGCCTGCAGTCTCATAGAGGAGCAGCGGCCGGTCTCGGAAGCCAGAGATGTGCGTGGTCCACGAGTCGACCCACTGGCCCGTCCCGCCAATCAAGACCAGAGGAGTGAAGTCAGAGGCGGCCGGAATGAGGACGGCGCGGTGCCCGGCGAGCGCAGTGATGGCTGAAGCTGCACGAGCCGACATGTACGTACCGAAGCCGTGGATGGAAAAGAATTGATTGCCGGGCCTCCCCCTCACCTCACCAACTCCGTTCACTCGTCTCTCTCTTCGAAAAAAGAACAAACCGGGCGCGGAGTGCGGTAGCTCGCAGCCAGGCAGCGAGAGAGCAGCGAGAGAGAGACATATATGCTCTCGCTCGTCCTCACGACCGTCGCCGCTTCGCGCGCGCAACGCTCGAGCAATGAGCAGCTCGCAGCCGGCGTGCTGGTCGGCTCTGCCGCGGGCGGCGCCAGCTTCGCGGCGGTGCGGCAGATCAAGACCTCCTACTTTCCTGGCGGGATGGCGTACCGGCCTCTCCTTCGGCCCAGGTTCTCAGTGTCCCAGCAAGCTGCCGTCGCTGCTGGCGTGGCGCTTGCGAGTGGAGCCGCCGCACTCGACCGGGCCTGGCGGCGAGATCCGCTCGGGCAGGGCCTGCGGAGGCTCGGCTCGGCGCCGCTGGACGCAACAGAGCGGATGCGACGCAAGTGGCGAGAGGCGAGGCAGCGGGCAGAAGAGGAGCGACGCAGAGCCTGGCTCCGCGAGCACACACGGCCGGCGCGGGTCATGATCCCTTCCTGAACGTCTCTCCGGCACACATTTTATGTAGCGCTCTCGAGTGCCGAGATCACATTATACATGTGCAAGAACTCGACCACGCCTTCGACATTGTGCAGTATTATAAGTAAGTGGATGCACGACAAACACGCATGAGGGACCAAGGAGTTACACACCGGACCGACACACCCCTCGCGACGGACGACGCACCCTCTTCTGGTTCACCATAAAAAGTCGACCAGAGAGGGCCCGCGCGCCGCGTCGCCGCCTCCCAGCACGGTCCTTGCGAGGCTCACCGCCGACCTGCCCGCCGCGACGTGCGGCTCGTCTGGCTTGAGCGGGACCACGCCAGCGTCCGGCTCGCGCCCGGCGATGACGTTGGCCGCCTGCAGCCCCGTCACGTACGCCTTCTCCTGCGACCACGACCCGTGGCGGGTGCGCACGAGGTCGCCGACAAAGTAGGCGTTGGGGATGGACGACGAGGCGAGGTCCGGCATCGAGTCGTACGAGCCCGGAAAGTACCAATTGACCGCGTTCGGCAGCTTGACGACGGCGCGGTCGGCGACGCTCGCCGCGCGGCACGGCTCGCCGAGCATCGTGTCGAGGTCTGCCTTGGCCTTGGCCGCGATCTCCTCGTCGCTCAGCAGCAGCAGCGAGTTGGCGTGGTAGTAGTCGACCTCGATCACCGAGCCGGGCTCACCGTCCAATGCGGGCGCGTGCAGCTTCTTGATGTCGAACCAGGTCATCCCCACGCCCTCGTCGAAGCCCCAGCACGCGTTGGCCGTGTGCTGCGTCGGCACCTCGCGGTCGAGGAAGAGTCGCGTCGCGAGCACGCTCAGCCCGCGCAGGTTGGCGTACCGCCGCCACTCCTCGTGCTGAGACAGGGCGCGCGAGCCGCGAACCATCCCGTTGAGCGCCGCGGCGCCGACAGCGAGCACCACGTCGTCCGCCTCCACCCGCACCTTCGAGTCGGCCGGCGCGCCGCTCGCGTCGTCGGTCGGCGTGCCTCCCGGCACCAGCGGGCTGCCGCCGGTCGTCCTGCAGACGACGCACTCGATGCGGCCGTCCGAGCCGCACTCGAAGTCGGTAACCCGCGTGGAGGGGAGGAACTGGACGCCGCGCTCCTTCATCTGCTCGACCCACGGCTGGAAGATCATCTCGCCGATGTTGCCCTTGCACCACCGAACGTCGAAGCTCGTCTGGTGCTTGAGCACGAAGAAGTAGGCCATGCCGAGAGCTGCCGCCGCGGAGCACTCTTCGCCCGGAGCAAAGAGGCCGGTCAGGATCATCGGCTCGAAGGCCTCCTTGTACATGCGGCGCGAGACGCCGAGCTTGGTGCACAGGTCACGAAACGAGATCTTGTCGTACTTTGCCCACGCCTCGGGCGAGTCGTCAAACTCGGAGAAGGCGAGCACGAGCGGAGCGGCAGTCGCGCGGTCGAGCGGCGACAGGTTCTGAAAGCGCGTGTACAGCGCCTGGCCGAGTCCGGTCGGCAGCCCACCAGCAAAGGGTCCGGACTCGCCAAACGGCCTCGAGTCGCGGTAGACCGGCCACACCGCCTCGAGGCCGCTCGGCGAGTACTGCCCCTGCTCGGCGTATCCGGTTAGGACGGCGTCACGGTCAAGGCCAACCTCGTCCATCAGCTTGTAAATGTTGCCGTACTCGTCCCAAAAGCCATGCTGGCCAGCCTCGGCGCTGCGGCCACCCGGCGTCTTCCACGAGTCGGCGACGAGGCCACCGGGCCTCGGGGCAGCGTCCACGACCGTCACCTCGGTGCCAGGAGTTTTGGAGAGGTGGTGCGCAGCAGAGAGGCCGCCCCAGCCGGCGCCGACGACGACGACTCTCTTGCAGCAGGCGCGCGATGGCGAAAGCAGCAGGAGAAAAGCAGCAGAGAGGGAGCGCATGGAGCGCATCGTGAGCGATGAAGGCCACTTCTCGAAGGCCACTCTCGGAACGAAGAAAAGAGAAAAAATAACCCAAGCTGTGTGTCTTGATTTGCCAATAATACACCTACACAAATAAATACAGGAGAGTGTTGTCGATAGTGCCGCGTGACATCATAACGCGCGGAACGCTCGTGTACGGGCGCTCGCACGCGCAGACGCCCAAAAGACGTTGCGGCGGCTCCTTACGGTGGATGGCCCCCACCGGCCCTGTCCTCTGCAAGCACCGAGTCGGCTACGTCGGCGTCTGGCGCGGGCGCACAGCGGGTGGCTCGCCAAAGCACTCCAGCTTCTTTGATAATCCACAGCTGCGCCTCCGCATCTCCAACCGGCAGCAGGAGCTGCGGGTGACACTTGCGCAGTCGCCCCTACAACCGGGGGCAGGGGTTCACGCGGTTGGGTTCGTCCTCCTCAGTGCCGACGAGCCTGCGGTCGCTCGCCGCACCCTCGGCACCCCCGGCGGCACGCACGGCTACTCCGCAATTCAAGGCATTCACCCCATCCCCTTTACCTCGGGAGAGGAGAGGGTAGACGTTGTCCTCAAGCTGGAGCGGCTCAAACAGGACTACATACTGGTCCCGTGCACCGACTCGCCAGGGAGCGAGGCCGCTTTTGCTCTCGATATTCGCTCAAACTATCCCCTCTCCCTCGCGTGCCTCCCAAAGGACGGATCGCCGCTGCCTGACCCCACGGCCGGAGGGGAGCAGGAGCAGGAGCAGCAGCAGCAGAGCACGAGCACCCCGGCACCCTCCGCCGCTGTCGAAATTCAGGGGATGGCCACAGGCATCTCGAGCGCAAGGGGCTACGGATTTGGCAACGTCGGCCAGAGCGGGGTGTCAGAGGGTGAGGCGCTGCTCCAGAAGCTTCAAGCTGCGCAATTCGAGGATGACGCCTTTCACAGCCTTCTGACGGGGTCTGCTGCGGGCAAGGCTGGGCGGGAGGTCGAGTGGAGGAGGCCACGCCAAGTCACGGAGGAGCCGTCTCCGGTGGAGGCGGCCGGCGTCACGACGCTGCTCCACCCGGAGTTGCATGAGCGAGCCGGAGGCGCCCCTCCGGGGCCGAGCGCTGGAAGCTGGATCCTTGGCGCGCTCGCGATGCTTGCCCAGTCCCCGACGCTGCTGCAGCGGTGCTTCGTGCCGGGGGTGCATGGTAAGCGCGGCGTCCTCGCAGTCCGTGTCTGGCACTGGGACAGCTGGCATACCATCCTCACCGACGATCGGCTGCCCGTCGCCAGCGGCCGGCTCGTCTCTGGCGGGTGCGCAGACGCGCGGCAGCTTTCGCTAGCTCTGCTCATCAAAGCTTACGCGCGGCACCACGGGTCGTACGCCGCCTTGCGCACCGGCCGCGTGACGGAGATGCTCGTAGACTTTACGGGCGGCTGCTCCCAAAAGATTGAGCTGGGTGATGATGGCGAGGCGAGCGCCGTCTGGGAGGAGCTGATTGAGATCAGGGATCGCGGTGCGCTGCTCGGCTGCCAACAGCTGGCCGGCGCCGACCGCGCCGTGGAGGCGCAGCGCCTCGGCGTCCGCACGCAGTCGACCTACGTCATTCTCGAGCTCGTCGAGCTCTCGGGCCTGCGCTTGGTCTGCCTGCGCAACCCGTTCCTGGAGCCACGCTGGCGAGGAAAGTGGCGAGCGGGCGCCCCAGGGTGGTTCGAAGGCGGCGACACGTCGCCGCTGCTGGGGCTGCAAGAGAGCGGCAGCGAGCACGCCGGCGCCGCAGTGGCGGAGGACGAGTCGGGCGTCTTTTGGCTCAGCCTCGAGGACTTTGTGCGCGTCTTTGATCGCGCCCACGCGTGCCGTACCTTTAGCCGCAGCACTCCTCGCGCGGTCGTGTTTGGGGAGTGGGATGCCGGCAGCGCGGGCGGCTGCCTCAACTACCTCTGCTCCTGGCGGCGGAACCCGCAGTACGTACTGCAACTCCCCTGCGCCGCTCGGGTCTTCATCGCCATCACCCAGCCGCCTCTCCTCGGCTCGATCGGGCAAAGAGACTACCTCTCCATCGGCGTGTGTGTGCTGCGGGGCGATGGGCGCCGGCGGCTCCTCACCGTCACCCGGGATTCGCTCCTCGGCGCCTCTCCCATCTCCGACACCCGCGAGGTGAGCTTCTCCCTCTCGCTGCCGGCGAGCACCGCGGAGGCGCCGCACATCGTCATACCGTACACCTTTGAGCCCAACGAGACGGGCGCGTTCAAGCTGTCTGTCTGGGCGGACGTCAAGTTTGGGCTTTCCCCCCTGGCGCAGGAGGACGAGTGGTGCCACACCGCGCTCGCCGGCGAGTGGGACGCATCGAGCGGCGGTGTGCCCAACCCGGGCAACAGCCGCTGGCAGGTGAACCCCCAGTGGGAGGTGGCGCCGCTCAGCCAGCCGACCACGGTCACAATCGTGCTGGAGCTCGCTCCTCCGCCGCATCCCGACCAGCCTACGCCGCTGGCGCTCGGCTGCCTTGTGCTCCGGGGCAGCAAGGCGAGCCAGCAGGTCGATCTCATCGGGCCGGACGACGTGTTGGCGCAGGCCGGCTTTGCTCGCGCCGCGCAAGTGACCTGTTGCGTCACGCTGCCCGCCTCGGACGAGCCGTGCTGCCTCCTCGCGTGCACCTTCGAGCCGGGCCAGGAGGCCGCTTTCCGCCTGCACCTCTACACTGACCAGCCCATCAGCGCACGAGCAGTGCAGCCCGACGAGGTGCAGAGCGCACCGCTGGGCACGTCGGTCGCCGGGTCCTCCTTCGCCATCGACAGCGCTGCGCCCGAGGCGATTGCGGGAAGCCAGCAGCCTCGCACGGACAACGCCGGCGAGGCGGGGGAGAGCGAGGCGGGCGGGGCCGAGGCCAGCGAGCGCCCTCGGGATGTGCCCACGGCCCAGCCGCCTGAGGAGGAGGAGGCCGCCGACCAGGACACGGGGCACGGGCGGGCGACGGCGGCCTCGGGCGGCCCGCTGCGCCTCCTGAAGAAGCTGCCGTGGAGGCCGGGCACGCCGAAACGCAGGGGCGCGAGGCGTCGGGCGGCTAGTTGAGTGTGTGCCAAAGAATTAGTGAAAAGGGGGTCAGGGCTCTCTAGCCCGTAGCCCGATGCCGATCATCCGGCCCGCTGGGTGCGCTTCTTAGCTCCCCGGCCCTGGATGTGAGGTTGATGACTGCACTCTCCAAGTGCTCCAAGTGCTCAGAGAAAGAAAGAAAGAATTTTTTACAAAGAAACTCCCTCGCACGACACTAGGCACGGGAGACTGGCGCGCACTGGCACTAACACAGGTACACCACGGGAGCCGCCTAAGCGACTCCCGCGAGGACGGCGAGGCACTTAGCTCCGTGCACTCGACCGCCCTCGCCGCAGACTGAGGCAAGCTCATTCACAATCTGCTCTGCGATGGCCGTGTGAAGAACGACTGAGATGCGCTGCTTCAAAGAAAGAAAACAGACAAGCCAAGGGAGGGATGGGAGGACGGCACGCCACCACCACACAGGGATTTTAAGGAGAGGAGTGTGGTGCTAGCCGTCGCCCACCCTGACCCTTGGGTCGTCTGCCTCTTTCTATCTCCCCCTTCGCAGTCCCTCGCCGATTCTCGCTGCAACCTTCATGCCACCTCGCGGTCGTCCCCCACTCTCGTCGTTCTCTCTCTTCTCGCTTCTTTCTCTGTCGCGTCGCTCTCCTCTGCCTCATCCTGCGACACGGCGTCGAGCGACGGCGCCGCCGCCTGCCGCTCCCTTGCTCTCGCTTCTTCTCCCGCCTTTCGTCGCAGCTCTGCCCTCCTCGCGGCATATTTTGGCCCCTCGAGTTTATCGAGCTCTCCTCGCGCAAGGACGACTCTTCTGTGCGCCCACTCCGATCATTTGCCGCCAAGTCATATCGTTGCTCAAGTCCACTCTCTCTTCGAACACTTGTACTTCCACAGATGATGTTGGCGCTGAGCTTGAGGTCCCCTTCGGTTGTATCGTAAAAGAAAGAAAGAAGAAAACAGACAAGCCCAGGGAGGGATGGGACGGCACGCCGCCACCACACAGGGATACAGGGATTTTAAGGAGAGGGGTGTGATGCGCTAGCCGTCGCCCACCCTTGGGCGTCCGGTTGTATCGTAAAAGAAAGAAAGAAAAACAACCAAGGGAGGGATGGGAGGACGGTTGAAACGTAAAAGAAAGAAAGGGAAAACCACCTTCTTTTTTTTGCTGCTCGTCAAGCTGCGCCAGCGAGCTCCACCCACTCGCCGATAAATATGTCACGGTTCCTGCTCCTACTGCTCTCGGCCGCCTCCGCCGCTGGCAAAGCGGCCGTCAAGAGCAAGTCCGACGACTGGAAGTCGCAGATGCTCTTTAGCGAACGCCTCATCGCCGGCGCCGGCGCCCGCGGTGTCGCGCAGACGATGCTGCACCCGATCGACGTCCTGCGCACACGGCTGCAGGCCAAGGGGGTGGCGGTCACGCTCAACGCCGAGACGTTCGCCAAGGGCGTGGCACCGCAGTTCTTCCTCGCCTTCCCGGCGGGCGCCACCCAGTTTGCCGCCTTTGAGTGGGCAAAGGAGCGCTTTGCCGCCGCCGGCATGAAGGGCAGCTTCGCCGAGCTCTCGTGCGGAGCGATCGGCGCGATCGCCGCGTCGGTGATCCGGGTGCCGCAGGAGGTGATCAAGCAGCGCGTGCAGGCGGACATCTACCCCAACGCGCTGGTCGGCGTCTCAAAGTGCTTTGCGACGGACGGCATCGCCGGCTTCTACAAGGGCTACTTCGCGACCGTCTCGCGGGATGTGCCGTGGAACGCGCTCTCCTTCATGTTCTTCGCGCAGGCGAAGAAGGCGTACAAGCTCTTTACTGGCCGCACGCCTGAGGGCCAGGAGAACCTCATGCTCGGCGCCGCCGCGGGCATGACTGCCGCCGTCATCATGACTCCGATCGACGTGGTGAAGACGCGCCTGATGACCGGCGGCGCGAGCGGCGGGATCATCGGCGTGATGAAGTCGATCATCGCCGATGAGGGCGCGGCCACGCTGATGAAGGGCGTCCTCCCGCGGGTCGCCTTCCTCGCGCCGCTCGCCGCCCTCACCCTCTCCCTTTAGGAGGTGTTTGGAAAGATGCTGGTATCCTCGCGGCTCGAGATCGCGTCGAGCGAGCTCTGAGAGCGCGGCGGGGGCTGCGAGCGTGCAGCTGCCGAGCCGGGTGCGGACTGAGCTCTCTGAGGTCTGTGAGCTCCGAAACAGGTCCTCTCAGCGTTTGACACCCAAATCACAAACAGTGCATGGGGGAGGGGGGGGGGGGGGGGCGTGGTTGGTCCCGGAAGGGGATAGTCGCACTTTACCCGCAGCAGACCAGGGAACCCACATGGTGAAGGGCCTTCGGCAGCTTTCGGCCGCTGGCGATGCTCTCCCGGCTCTCTTTCGCCCGCAGCGTTCGCTGCCTCCGCGCGCGATCCTGCGCGTCGGCGAGCGCCGCTGAGACAGCTTCCACCGCCGTATCTGCGCAGCTCTCGCTGCCAGAGGCGTACGACACTCTGCTCACGTCCGGTCTAAATAGTGACCCGGCGCAGCGAGACCTGTGCTACGCGCTGGAGGATCTGAGGAGCCGGGTGAACGCGCACAGGGAGGCCTCGCAGCACTATGCCGCGGAGCTGGCGGACTGGCGCCGGACTTGCGCCAGGCTCCAGGCCGAGGCGGACGCGGCAGAGGAGGCTCGCGCGAGGGAGGCTGCAAACGCACCGGCGTGGCGCAAAGCTCTGAATGCAATCCGCGACGCGGTCACGGGCGGTGCGGCCCTGGTGCCGGCGTCGCCGGCGGCGGTGCAGGGCTGTAGCAGCGGAGGCTGCGGCAGCGGAGGCGGTGGCTCGTGCAGCAGCGGAGCGCACGGCCCTGCCACCGCCTCTGCGTCCGAGGCGGGAGGCGGCGGCGGCATCGTCGAGCGGGAGTCGCCGCACCTGAAGCTGCGGGTGGCGCAGGCGCAGGCGCACGAAGACAGCGGCGCGCCCTACCGCGACTACGACGTGCCCGCCGCGCTCGGCGAGGCCAACGCGGGCTCACACCAGCCCCTCTCGAGCGAGGAGCTGGCGCACCCGTTCTGGCGGACGGGCCTCGGGTCTGCAGCCGGCGCGGCGGAGGCGGCGCAGCGGGCAGAGAGTCCTTCGCAGCGCTGGCCCGCGCACCGCCTCCCGCCGGGCGCTCCGCCGCCGCCCGAGCGGCCGCCCGCGCCGCGAGGCCTCTTCATCCATGGCAACGTCGGCAGCGGAAAGACGTTGCTGCTCGACCTGCTCGCGCTCTACTTCATATTATATTATATTATATTTATTATATTATAGGAAAGACGTTGCTGCTCGACCTGCTCGCGTCGGCGCTGCAGGCGGACGCACTCGCTGACGGGGGCTGCCCTCTCTCGCTGCGGCGCGTGCACCACAACGCCTTCATGATCGAGTGCCACCGCAGGCTGCACGCCCACACCGAGGCGCGCTACCCATCGAGCCACGGCCGCGAGCGCCACAGCCCGCCTGCACCCCCGCCACAGCCCGCCTGCACCCCCGCCACAGCCCGCCTGCACCCCGCCACAGCCCGCCTGCACCCCGCTCCCCTCCCCTACTCTACCCCATGCATGCTGCCTCGCCCCCCGAGCCGCGGCCGCCGAGCCGCAGGCGCTCGTCGCCGAGATGCGTGCGGCGGAGGCGGCGGCGCAGGCCGCCGGTAGCACTCGTCGGTCGGAGGAGTGGTGCGGCGAGGACGAGGCCCTGTCTGTGACGTCGCGCGCGCAGCAGCAGCCTGCCTCCGAGGCGGGGTGGGGGCAGGCGTGGGGGGCGGGGGGCGGGGGGGCGACGGTGCGCAGCGTGATGGAGCTGCTCGTGGACCGCTTCGTGAACGAGCGCGGCAGCGAGGTATCGCACGCGGGCGAGTCCTTTGCTGAGGCGCCGTCTCCGCCCCCGCCTCTCCCCCGCCTCTCCGCGCCTCCCTCCGCCTCTCCACGCCTCTTCCCTCCGCCTCTCAGCGCCTCCCCCCGCCTCTCCACGCCTCTCCCTCCGCCTCTCCGCGCCTCTCCCTCCGCCTCTCCCTCCGCCTCTCCCCGCCTCTCCCCGGCGAGGCGCCGCCCTCGCGCCTCCCGCCGCCCGTCACGCCTCCCGCCGCCCGCGAGCGAAGGCGATGCGGAGCATCTCGGCCGAGATTGTCGAGGCGCGGGTCGGCGTCGTGAGCGGAGGGGCGTGCGTCACCGGCCCCGGAGAGGCGCCGCTCGTGCTCGACGACGTCGGCCGACCGGTGAGCGCTTGCAGCGGCAGAGTGGCGCGGGAGGGGCCTGGGGAGAGGCCAGCTGTGCTCACGCTAGCTGCCCACGCCGGCTGTGCACGTGCGTGTGTGTGGCGCAGGTGAGCGTCGGCGTGCTCTGCTACGACGAGGTGCAGATGATGGACATCGCAGACGCGACCGTGCTGCGCGGCGTGCTCCAGGCGCTCGTCGGCGCGGGGTGGGTCCTCGTGGCAACCTGCAACCGCACGCCCGCCGAGTTTGCGGCGTCGACGATGCAGCGCGAGCACCCGCAGTCTCGCTTCGCCGAGGCGATGGCGGAGCACTGCGACACGCTCCAGCTGGGGGACGGCGTGCGGCAGTCGCGAGGCCTCGAGCCCGCCTCGCGCCTGCCCCCTGACTTTGCGTTGCACGCGCGTAGGCTCGCGCGACTACCGTGAGGGCCAGCTCGCCGCGCCGCAGCCGTCCTACTTTTGCCCGTGCGAGGGGGGAAACGGGGTTCCCAACCCGGGGGGGCAATTTGACCGGTGTTTTGTTGACTTTACGGGGGGCCCCCCGGCGGACGAGGAGGTCCCAATCGGCCCGGGGAGGAGGATGGGGTTTTTTTTTGGCCGGGGGGTTGCCCCCCCCTTGTTTGAGGGGGTGTGGGGCCCCCCCCTCGGGGGGGGAGATTAGGTGGCACTCGGGCAGGGTTACCCCACGTTGTGGGTTGACGACTTCCCGCAAATGTCGTTGGGGCAGCGCGACCAGGGGAGGGGTTTTATCCCGGTGGTGGGCCAGCTTTACAATCACAAAACAGGGTTTGTTGCCTCCGCCGCCGTCCCGATGGGGGGCCCCCCCCCCCCCCCCCCTTACCAGCCGCCCCAACCCGCCCCTTTACCAGCCGCCCCAACCCGCCCCTTTACACCTCCGCTCCGCCCCCCCCCGCCTTGCCAGGCGAGCTCTTCTCGGGCGCGGCGGGCGCCGGCGTGATCGCACAGGCGCGCGCGAGCTTGCTCGAGGGCGTCGAGTTCGAGGGCGAGGCGGGCAAGGCCGCCGAGCTCAACCCGCGAGGCGTGACGGCAAACTCGCTCGAGACAAACTACCAGGGCCTCCTCAAGACGGGCGCCGTGGCGGCCGACTCGCGCAAGGTGCCCTCGCACTCGCACGCACTCGCACGACGGCGCTTCGAGCCCCTGCCCTCTTGCGCGAGCTCAGACGCCGCCTCGCCGCTAGGCGCTCTTCACGGGCGGAGACTCGCTCTTCACGGGGGAGGACGAGACCTTTGCCTTCCGGCGCGCCATCTCGCGCC